TTGATCCCAAAGTTGCGCATACAACATTAAATCCATAATAGTATATACGGATTCTGACGCATGCGCAGTGGTATCTATCACGCGCATTGGCCAAAAGTCAGTCATATTACTACAGGTTAGGTCACGCAGAATTAAAACGTAAAGCACCTTTTCGGATAGATCTTTAGAGTTTTTCAAACTAACACTCGCCCTCCAAAAATGTTTATTTTCGAAAATTACATTAGATACGCGTATTTTGTTCTGTATCGTGTCCTGGATGACAACGAGTGTTTGTATCACTTTGCTATCTCAGTAGCACCCCCAGTATATTGGAAATAATTTTCCAGTATCCCAAAATCGCGCCCATAACATTAAATCCATCATAGTAGCAGTATATTTGTGTTCTCGCGTATGCGCGATGGTCCTATGGGCCTAAAGTCGGCCATGTTATTGTAGGTTAGAGGTTATATCGCCCTACCGTATAGAGCACAAACTGGGATAGTTTTTTAGGGTTTTTTAAAGAACCATTCGCGGTAGAAAATATATATTTTCGAAAATTACGTCAGATGTGCTTATTTCGTTCTGTATCGTTTCCGGGCTGACAACGGGTGTTTGTGTGACTCTGTAGCACACCCAGTACCTTGAAAATATTTTTCCAACATCCCAAAATCACCCCCATAACGTTAGATTTGTCATAGTAGCATATACGGATTCTCGTGCAGTGGTACTTATTCAGCGCATAGGCCGAAAGTAGGCTATGGTATGGTAGGTTATAAGTTATTTCGCGTTAGCGTAGAGAGCACTATTTCGGATAGTTTTTTAGGGTTTTTTAAGGAAACATTCGCCCTTCAAAAGGTCTATTTTCGAAAATTACGTTAGATATGGTTTCCCGATTTTTTAAAATTGCCTCTCACGTGGATTCCACATGAAATCTACGATGCCTGCACTGAGAAGAAAAATATCTAAGAAGCAGTAAATATTTATTTCGTGGGTATTAGTACTTTGTGCTTTGTTAACCGTGTTAACAGTTAATTATTTAATCGCGGATAATTAACTGTAGTTAATTGAAAAATGTTTTAAGAGTTATTAATAAATAGGTTATGTAAAGTATAAATAGTTATGTAAATTTTTTACATAATAAATATAAAAAAATTTTTTGTGCTTTTTTAAGCCAATTAATTTGTCTCATTATTCTGTGCAATAAAGCATTAAGGCAAGATAATCGAAAGATGAATATTTTACGAGATAGTTTATATTCTATGTGAAAATACTGGAAATTTCAAGTGTTATTACTCGAAAACTTCTTAACGAAAAAATATTTTATTATAGTGTCTTGGAAAGCTCTCGAGATAAGCTATAAGAATATGTAATAATATATGTTCCATTAAAAAAATTAAAGATGACCTTCATATGACCTTCAAATGACTATTCAAGGTCAAACCAATTACACCTTTTTTAGATCCCTTCGAACC